GGGAGCCCGATGCGGGACTCGATCCCGGGACTCCAGGATCATGACCTGAGCCGAAGGCAGTCGCTTAACCAACTGAGCCACTCAGGCGCCCCTGTGCTGAATTCTTTCTAACCATTGTCTCATTTCATCCTTACAATGAGCCTATGAGATAGGGGTTCTTATTGCCATTTTAGAGATGAGGGGACCAAAGTTAAAAGAAACTAAACACCTGGCTTGATGTTCCAGTCAATAAGGGCAGAGAATTGAACCCAGTTCTGTCTGATTCCAAAACCTAAGCCTTTCATTTCTCTCTAGAACTAGAGTGATTTTACCCGTTGTATAGATGATCTTCACCAGTGTTTACTAAGCACTTAGAAGAAGGATCTAATCTGTGAGCTTTTTAGAAGCATCGGATGGGTGGCAAGGAGCATGGTTTGGAATCAGGGGGAACATCCAGAGTGACAGTGGACACCTGATTTACAGGGACTCAGGAAGGAGAGGGGGATATGCAGGAGGGCATTTGCATGGGCTCTTTTTGAACTTAGAGCCAAACAATTTAGGGTTCATTATGGTGATTTGAGAGTTGGATGTTTGCTGTTGGGGAAGAAGGATGGTCATGATTTAAAAGAAAAGAAGAAAGAAAGAAACAGGCAGAAATCTGGACTAAGAGGTCTACTCTGGTGAAACAGTGTTGACTGTGCTATTTTCATTCTAATTGAAGCCTGTGCATAGTGGGTGAGAAAGGAGCCTCAGAAGACTTTAGGTCTGGTCAAAGGAGAGAGTTCTAGCTGTAGCTACAGTTGTGGCTACCAGAGGGGATTTCCACAATTTTTTAAGATCCTTGGTCCACAGTGTTGGGTAAATAAAGAGAAAAGGATCAACAATTAAAATACCACCACTCATAACACTCCATATAGTTTACAAAAGGATTTTATTCACATATATAAACTAGCTTGATTTTAGCCACAATTCTATGAGGAAAGCTAAGCCTTCTCCATCCCAGTTCACAGCTGATGATGCTGGGTATTTAACTTGGACAATGTCATGTAGCAAGAAAGTGGCAGGATGCAGATTTGCAGCTCACAATAACCCTTTCAGGGGAACGTGATGGTGTCCAGCTTACCAACAAGAGGTTCAGAGAAGTAGAGTCACTTCCTGGGGGTCACACAGCTACTGAGTGTTGTAACTGAGATTGGAACCCAAGGGTCTTATATCCATGTCCCCAGACTATAACTACTCTTACACGTAGACCAAGTTGTCTGACTTCGAAGCTGTTCTTTTGCCCCTCAAACAATCCCAAGTCGTTGGCACATATAAGCGAGTAGCCTGACCACAGGCCTGGAGGCTCAGAGGGAACCAGCACAGGCTGTCTCTGTGTGGGCAACACCCACCTGAACCAGCAGCTCCAGTCTCCGATCATCCAGGAGGTGTACCTGGCAGTGCCTGCCTTCTGTCATCTGTGGGGACAAGAAAGCAAGAGTGGCATCACGGCTAGCACGGGCAAGCAGACCCGTGAGCTTGATTTATAGTTTAGTTTACATGCGATGTGTTCAGCCTAAAGATGGCTTCAGCTGAGTTACTCAACAGCCTTGATCATAAACAGACTTACTCTTTGGCATTAGCTCTTGAACTCATCAATCAGTGAATTAATTTGCTCTTGGATTTAAAAGAAGAAAAGAATGAAAAGCAAAGACAGCTCAATATGTTGAAAAAATTATGTCTATAATAGTGCACACAAGATTATACTATGAAAAGCTGGTTTCCTTCCCGGAGGAAACTACTATATTTTTCATTGAATCAATATTGAATTTTTCAAATGAAAATGCCTATATTCATTGATGTATTTAAATAAATATAATACATTCATAATTATAAAGGAAAACTATGACATTAGAGTTAAAATTGAAAGTCTCCATCTTTGAAATGTCTGTCCTCTTTATAGAACATCACTACTGTAATTAAGAACAGTTAAGATATATAGTTAAGAACAGTACACGTCAGTATAAATTTCCAATTATATTTACTTTTTTACCACTTATAACGGCAATACTGGGAAATATTCTTTGTAAAATATTTATTTACTTATTTTTTATTTTATTTCATTTTATTTTTTAAGTAGGCTCCACACCCAATGTGGGGCTTGAACTCATGACCCCAAGATCAAGAGTCACACGCTCTACAGACAGAGCCAGCCAGGCCCCCCTGTAAAATATTTAAACAATGCACAGAATACAAAGAGCCCCCTTAATTAACTCATGCTCCAAATCATTTTATCTGCAGAAATCACCACTTTGTCAGTTTGAGGAGAATCAGCTCAAACTGTTTTTACATATATGTTCAGATATATATGTGTACATATTTTCAAAAAATTTCATATTAAATGGTTTGCTTTGCAGTGTTATTGGACGTATTGTTTTGCAAATGAAGTACTGTTAATATGTGTGTGTGTGTTTGTGTGTATATAATCATCCAGAAATTTTATATATGACTCTGTGTTCATGGGGTGTGTGTACTGTGATGCTATACATATATACAAACACACATACATGATATATATACATATATATGTGTGTGTGTGTGTATATATATATATATATTTTTTTTTTCTTCCCAACTCAAGTGGAACTAAGCTATTTCTTGGTGATCTTTCCAATGTCAACACATATAGACCAACTGCATTCTTTTTAAAGGTTTTAGAGTAACAAATAATTGTGTGGACATGTAATAATTTAATGAGTCGCCTGCTGAGAGACACTTAGATGGCCTCCAGTCCTTTGCTATTCTAAGCAACGTCATGGTGAACAATGCATACCCAACTTTGCCCATGGATGAGGAACTTCTGGGTCACTTTGAAAAAGGATGGGCAGCATTTTCTCTCTCAGCTGCTGTATTAAACTATAAGACCTGGAAACTCAGATATATTTAAACCCAATTTAAAGAGAAAATCACTCCATTATGAAGCACCAGCTATAGACTTCTAATTGTTCCAGGTGTTTTATAGATACCGTCTCTGAGCTGCATGGTCACCATGTGGGACTGCTGACACTATCTCCAATTTAACAGATGGGGAAATTGAGGCTCAGAGTGGGATAAGCAATGTTTTCCGTGTGAAAAATACTAATTATTGCATTTACATTTTTTATTAAACTCTGCTTTAAAAGTCTGAAAACTAGCTCAGTTGATTAGATCATGGTATTATGGAGATCTGGTCCATTGAAACCACTGAGGAAATGTGAAGAGGTGAGTGGGCAAGCTTTACCTTGTCCCATGGCCCCTGATTATGTCCTTAACTCCGCAAAGCTGAGGTGGAATACACACTTTTGGTGGCGAGGAGAAAGGGAACGAATATTTGTTTGTTCCAGGTACTAAGCTGGACAATGTATGTACATTATTTCATTAAAGTTCCACAAAAAATCTATATGACAACATCCCCATTTTACAGACAATGAAACTGAGGTACAGAGTTTAAAGTAATTTATCCAGAGTTATCTGAGCAAGAAAAAAGCCAAGTCAAGATTTAAATTAAGGTCTAACTGAACAACAACAAAAAAGTCATCTTTTTTTCTACTATTCTATTCTATGGGAAGAAAGAAATAAATGCATCAGTTCAAATCACTTTACTTCTCTTGTAAAACCCACACAAACAAACCCCAAATACATGTACTATGATAGGACAAAATAATACTCAGAAGACCAACTGACACAACATGAGTCCATTAAGGAATATGTCAAAACTCATAAAATATTTCAAGTTACTCTGTTGTTGCATAATCCAGATTATTTTATTTCCTGATTTTCAAAAAGCATCTTTTTTCCTTCCCGCCGTACTTTGCTTGGACTCATCGATTTTCCTTTTGTCAATACCTCATTCTATCCTAGGGAATTAAGTAGAAAATGTTTTTCTGGTGCGTCTGCCCATCTCGGGACAAACACAGGCAGTGGTGGCCATGTTTGTACAACTTGGTCCTACCACTTCTGCTTCAGGTTTCAGCTGACTGGACCAGGGAACAGACACCTGATTCAAGCTGAGCCAATCATATCCTCAGTCCAGGGAATCTGGAATTGAGGCTGAGAGGATGAGAAAGCAGTTGGGTAGGGACAGCTCTCCTCTGCTGTGTGTGGACAAAAAGGAAAGCCATCTGCAGAGAGAATGAAGGACACAAGTAGCTGGAAAGAGGCAAGAGAAATCATGCAACCTGAAAGGGACAGCTCGAGAGAGTTGCTGTCTGGGTTCCTAATGTCCTTCTAGTCACTTGTAGTCACTTCCACTGGTTTGGGTGAATTCTTGCTCTTTAGTTCCATGAAACACCCTTGTGTTCCTTTAATAAATCCACTTTTTTTTCTTCCTGAAACTAACTTGAGTTGGATTCTGCTTCTTGCAACTAAAAGCGTCTTCCTAAGATACCACAGGTATCTTTTGGGGGGGGGTGGCGGCAGAGAGAGAGGGAGAGAGCGAATCTCAAGCAGACTCCCCACTGACTGCAGAGCCCACGCAGAGCTCAATCCCAGGACCCTGAGATCATGACCTGAGCTGAAATCAAGTGTCAGATGCTTAATCAACTGAGCCACCCCGGTGTCCCAGATACCACAGTATCTACACCTAAATCAGAACGAAAGGTTTCCAAAGGACGGACTCCCCAGATGATGTCATTAATATGGTAAAGTCATCTACTCATAATCACGGATGCACCATCCACAAATGTAACAGCCAGGAGAAAGGCTGACATTTGGTGGGGAGAACTGAACACACGTCTCAGTATGTGAAGTGATAAGAGACCATACAGGACAAGCTGGAAAAGGGCAGTGCAGGTGAACTGGAGGGGGAAAAAAATGCTACAGTTTTAAGCCCACGTTGGCACATCCGTGCTCTGTATTCACCGAACCCTTTCCTCTGTGGGAGGATGGCTTCTCCGGGAGGCCAGAGTACCGATTTGACCACCACTAGCGATAGAAAGGCCTGCCCTTGTCACTTACTTAAATCAGAGGTTGAAAGGTCGTTGATGTATTTTGTTATGAATAAATTTTTGTTTTGATGATCTCAGAAATCAGAAGATGCCACTTAAGAAAAATTGAGATGGTAGGATTTGGAAACACTGGGCTGGATTTCCTCCATGGCAACATTGGGCCAGGGTGGGGCACAGCAGCTCCCTCTTTAGATGAGATTTGTGGTCCCTGCCTCACCCAAATTTATTATCTGCCAGGTTCCTGGGAGTCACGTCATGAGAGTAAGCAAACCCCTATTTAAGTTCACACAGGACAGGGAAGAGACAAAACCCCACGTCAAAGGAGGGTCTCCCGTGCACCAGGCCAAGTGCTTGACAATTGACCTTCATTAACATCTAGGATTTCAACCTCTAAGCAAGCCTCTGAAAGGGGCATCCTCATTTTGTTTGGTTTCATTTGGGGGGGCTTTCCTCAATTTAAGCACCAGGAAACCAAGGCCTGGGAAATGATGTCACTTGCATGAGTTCTAAAGCCAGACTTGGGCTCGAAATCATATTTTATCTCTTACTAGCTGGGTTACCTTGGAGAAGGTACTTAACCTTTCTGAGCCTCATAAACAATGTCCTGGTAAGCTTTCAATCTGACACCCCTGAGAGTGAAATAAACCACTTCCACAAAGCACAGTTATTATACCCTTTATTTGCTTGAAGCTTAACAAATAGCTAATGAAGCTTCCTATCCTCCATTTATTCTATTAAAAAAAAAAAAACAATTTTCTAATGGGATGAAGATTACTAACCCATTTTGAAGAAGATAAATGACAGGTAGAGTTAACAAGCACAGAGCAGAAAAATTCTCCAGAGCTGATGGGGCAGACATAAAAAGAAAGAGGGGGCGCCTGGGTGGCTCAGTCGGTTAAGCGTCTGCCTTCGGCTCAGGTCATGATCCCAGGGTCCTGGGATTGAATCCCACATCGGGCTCCCCGTTCTGTGGGGAGCCTGCTTCTCCCTCTCCCACTCCCCCTGCTTGTGTTCCCTCTCTCACTGTTTCTCTCTCTGTCAAATAAATAAATAAAATCTTTTTAAAAATTTACAAATAAGGGCGCCTGGGTGGCTCAGTCGTTAAGCATCTGTCTTCGGCTCAGGTCATGATCCCAGGGTCCTGGGATTGAATCCCACATCGGGCTCCCCGTTCTGCGGGGAGCCTGCTTCTCCCTCTCCCACTCCCCCTGCTTGTGTTCCCTCTCTCACTGCCTCTCTCTCTGTCAAATAAATA